AAACTTAAACACAATCTATGCGTTGCTTAATGTTTTTTGGAAAGCCAATCAGAGCAGTTGCTCAAAGTGTCCACCGTAAACTATTTGGCAGTGGGCCATCCTGTCTACAAACGAGCGTTGTCTGGATCTCGGCTTGAATGCGGTGTCTTAGGTCGTCCAAATTTTAAGGCCTGTTTACATAGACGCGGTTTTTAAGATGTCCCCATAAAAAGAAGTCTAAAGGGTTCAAATCGGGCTATCGCGCTGGCCACTCAATTTGACCCCTTCGACCTATCCAGCGATTGGGAAAGACCTGATTTCAATAATCCCTTACTAGCAATGCATAGTGTGGTGGTGCCCCGTAACAGCGAATAAGTTCGTCAAAACCAAAATCTCAATCAGCGGCAAGAACCTACTTTTCTCATAAATTTTCTTATGTAACTCTCCACATGTAGCATATCAATGTACTCAGGACAACGGTAGCTATCCAAAAATGCAACAAAAATAAAGGGTTGTAATTTAAAAAAACCTTACTTCGATTGGGGCGCCGCCACGCGGCAGATTTTGGAACAACTACATAGGCTAAAATATTGCTAGAAAAATAACAAAGTTGACGTGTTTCAGCGTTTTTTTAAAAAAAAATTACCGTTTTCAAAATAATCACATGTTCCGGGACTTTACGGACACACTGTATATGATCATGTATGAATTTTGCCCATGTATGACCATACATGAATATTGGTCCACATATAATTATATATATGGAATTTCATTATATATGATCAAATACGAATTTTGCCCATGTATGTTCACATGAATTTTGGTCCACGTATATTTATACCGGGCTTCCCAAAAGTCCCGGGACGGAACTATAACTTTTGAAGGAGTGAAGAAAAAAAATTGAAAAATTTGTGATCACTATAGGATCATAAAACTACATTCTTAGATAGTTTAGAACTTCCATGCAAAGTGGAGTTATTTTAGGGGATAACCACCCCAACATTTTAAATAGCAACCCCTGTTGAGTTTCACCTTATTTTAAAGGTAGTGAAAAAAGAAACTCATCCCCATAAAAGAAAACCCGATATTTTAATTGTTTCAAGAATTATGATGGGTTGACTACTAAATGTGGGAAAATAAAATGTTTTAAATTTATTTGCACGTTTACTACGATTTTTATATCATTACCTTTAAAATAAGGTGAAACCCGACAGGGGTTGCTTTTTAAAACGTTGGGGTGGTCATCCCCTAAAAAAACTCCAAGTTGCGAGAAAGTTCTAAACTATCTAAGAATGTAGTGTAATGATCCTATAGTGACCCCCAATTTTTTTTTCTTCCTTCCTTCAAAAGTTATAGCTCGGTCCCGGGACTTTTGGGGAGACCTGTACATAATTATGCATAAAAACTTACCTTGTTTTGCTCATAATAGTCGGTGCTAGGCCGGGGTTCAAGATAGTATTTATTTTAATAAAGAAAAGGATAATAGGGGGCACCAGGCGTGATAAATAATAATATTTATTCAACGGTAAATAACCAATACATAATTATATATAATTGTATATATATATACAATTTACATAATATAGATAAAGCAAAACTTAAAACTAGTATACATAAAATTAAAAGTAAATATCACAGATTCTGAATCGACAACTTAAATCTTTTTAAACTACTACAAAAAAAGTCAATATCCAATTCATTTGCAAGTCTGCTTACTCTATCAGTTAAATCCATAATTGGTGGTATGTGATCTTACATAGAATAAATATCAGTGTCTTACTTGTCTTTGTGGAACATGAAACTTAGGCAATTCTAGTAATTCTGGACAGTTTACTGCATTATTGATTAATTTGTACAAAAAAATTAAACTCGATTGGTCGCGTCGTATACTTAACGATTGAAGATTCATCATCTGCCTTAAAATGTCATAATTCAGATCATCAGATTTTAAATTTAATTTAAACGCACAAACACGAAGACATTTATTCTGGACGTTTTCAATACGTTGCACATGAATGTCATAAAACAGGGACCATATAATACTACAATACTCTAAAACAGAGCGCACATATGAAATAAAAACAGTTCTCAAACAGTTCACATTATCAAACTCAAGAAGCTGCCTTTTAATAAAGCCCAACATTTTAAAAGCTTTATTAGTGACAGCGCTTATGTGATTTAAAATAATAAATAAAGATAAAGATAAAAGTTAATTTATTATCAAACATAACACCTAGGTCTCGAATTTCACTCACTTTTTCCAAATAGGTATTAAGTATCTTATATCGCGATGAAATTGGAGATTTCTTATGAGAAAAACTTATGCATTTGCATTTTCCTAAATTTAGTGACATATAATTGGACTTACACCATACAGCAATCCGATCCAGATCAGCCTGTAACAGTAGATTATCACTAATATTGTTTACAATTCTAAAGATTTTTAGATCGTCTGCAAAAAGTAAACATTGACTAGATTTAACAACGGAACATATGTCATCTATAAAACAGTTGAACAGTAATGGCGATAAATGCCCACCTTGTGGGACACCAGATGTTACATGAATTGGACTGGATTTAAAGTAGTTGTTAATAAGAACAATTTGGGATCCGTAATGTAACTAAAAATCCACCTCAACAAACTACCATAAATGCCCAACGCTTTTAATTTGGCTATTAATACTTCGTGATTAACAGTATCAAATGCTTTGGAGAAATCAGTGTATATGGCATCGACTTGGTTTTGCCTCTCCAAAGCATTTACGAGAAATTCATTATAAATTAGTAAGTTTGTAGAAGTGAACTTACCGGAAGAAAAACCATTTTGCTGACAGGATAAAACACCACGGAACTGGTATGTTATTTTATCTACTATAATCTTCTCGAGCATTTTAGGTATAACTGAAATTTTTGAAATTGGTCTATAGTTGCCAATATTTGACTTATCCCCTTCTTATCTATCTATCTATCTATCTTTCAACATAAGACTTTTTCCATACATTCGGGAAAATAGAACAATTTAACGATAAATTGTATAAAAAACATAAAGGCTTAGTTAAAACAAACCTACATTAAAATAAAAATAACATTGGTATATTATCAGGACCGGGACTGCCACACTTATTCATTTTGATAAATTCATTAAAAACATCAATTTCTGAAATATCACAGGTATTTATATCAACAGTCTATAGCATGTTATAATCAGGTACATTTATAGTATTGTTTTTACAGTAAACAGAGGAAAAATGTTTGGCAAACAGGTCTGCTGTGTATTGTTCGTTATCAGTCTGTGTTTCATTTAGGAACATAGATTTAGGTTAACTGTTATCATTATAAACTCGACAGGAAGTCAGAAATAGGAAAGAATTATTAAAAAATTACAAATTACTAACACGTATATTCATCAAATTCACTAAATACCCGTACAATTAAATATAATAAAAACTTATTTTGGGAGTCAAACAGTGTCCACTCAGCATAAAAATAAAAAAATACCTTATGCCCGTATGCACCGTATGGACTTAAGCTCGATTAAGAGTTTAATCTCGCTTAGTTCGAAAGTTTGTCATGCACCGCGCGAAAAATGTATAAGTGTTCGATTACGAGATCCACCGGCGAGGTAGGTTTAATCGCAGGATTAACTGATTTTCTAACCAAATTGATTAGTTTGGTTAGGGTTGGGCTTTCGTTGTAGTGGATTTCGAGGACTAGTATAATTAAATCATGTATTTAAAAGAAGAACTATTTGTAGAAGATGATCAAGATATTCTGGAAATAATTTTGGATTTCCGCGACGAAATTATGAAAGGAGCGAATATTTTGACACCATGGACAGTTTTTTCGCCGATTTCGATTGACTAAACCCACCGTTCTAAACTTTCTTAATGAAATTGAATATTGAAGCCCAGTTCTGTTAGTTTTTTTTTATCTTCCAATATTTTATAATACCTCATAACAATCAGCATTAGATTTTCTTTTCCCACTGGTGAAAAGTTAGGAATTCTGATCTCCCATTTTATAGACAGACGAAGGATGATCCAAAAAATTGTTCTATATAAAAACTATTGTATATTAGGCATAAAACAAAACTTAAATTTTAGTTTAACAAGATCACGATTGACAGTTTTTGTGTTTTTTTGACAAATAAAACAGCTTTGCCAAATCACCAATCCAGATTGCACAATCCGCGTACGGTGCATTATGATGGAGAAAGATTAACATAATCGCGATTTGCTAATTAGGCTTAGGCTTTAAAACGGTGCATACGGGCATTAGAAAATCTTGAAAACTACATGTCAGCTGTCATCAGGTGTGACCAATATTCCAATACAAAAATTCTCAGTCATAGCATGACATGAAAGACACAGGATTTCCACTAGCAATAAAGGTTATTCTTCTTCGAAGGACCTATTGTAGATCAAGGGAGGATCGTAAGACAATCAGGTACTTTCATGGATTCCTTATGGATATTTGCTCAACACATTTGTCAGTGACCACGGAGATTATTACAAGTGCATTACTGTAATACAACACTAACCATTCTCAGACTCTCCAACGTGTTTTTGAGGTTAGGAATTTTAAATCTTAGGGAAAAAATGGTATTTACCTAGAATGTTATAAGCTCTTTTTCCTTCAAAACTACAGGATGCCGTTAGCAATGACGGATTTGAGCGTGAAATTTTTTCTTGCTTGTAGTGCTTTTTACAATCGAGAATTTTGCCGAAAACTTTCCATTTTTGATAATTTGTTTAGCTTTTTGTCTATTGATGTCTGTACCAGTTCTGACACTACAAAATACAGAGTATGCTATGGACGTCAACAGTTGACGTTTTAAGCCAACATAAAATTATATTTTCATGTTAAATGTCCCCAGTATATAATATTTATTATCAGCTATTGAACTGACAATTTGTTATTATAAAAAGTCACAAGTTAAATAGATTGTCGGTGTGTTTATTGTGTTTTGTAAAAGCAAAAGGAGTGCAAAGGATAAGTAAAGTAAAGGATAAGAGGACGTTATGAGGAAACACTTTGTGAAGGATTATTATGTGAGCGACCCAAAATTTCCTCGCGCTTTATGTGGAACTTGCAGATTAGTGGTTCAGCAATACGGAAAACAAAACTTTCAAAGGAAGATTCATTTATTCAATTACTCCAAATTGGATACACATCCTCAAAATATAACAAGAAGTAAGTTAATTTACGATTGTGCAATGTGTAGGCTTGCAAGATCTAAGTCTGTTACTAGAATTGCATTTAATAATAAAAAAATATTACGTCCATCTATAGATACCTGTAGTCAAGAAAACAAATCTAAAAGAAGTACGACTAAATATACACTTGCTCGAGGAAGATCTCATCACTGCTCAAAAGGTAAAAAATATTTAAACGCGATATCACTCACTGGCTCTTCTCAAAAGTTGCAAGAAAAATTAGCTTCTACAATATTAATCAGTAGAATAGGCGAAAATCCCAATGACTCTATTGATTTGTCTACAACTCGAGGACCACTACTGTCCATTCATCTAAAACCTGATAGATGTGTCGAAAATACTGCTAAATTATCAGCTTCCTCTTTCTCCAAAATTCAATATTCTCTTAATTTAAGTGTTAATACAACACTTCATCTACGGGAAGAAAACTTATTGAACCTAAATAAGCTTCAAGAAAAATACCATGAGGTTGACGCATTCTTCGAAACAACTTATATAGAATTTGTTAAGGAAGTTAACCAAGAAACCAAACAATCGGTATTGAAATCAGTTGTGTACTGCAAAAATTTTCTACTTTATGTACGAGAGAAAAGACGATGTTCTGCAAATATTTTTATCACCAAAATCGGCATAGACGGAGGTGGAGGGTCTTTAAAAATATGTGTAAATATTCAAGACAAGGAATACGAAGATTCTAATACCAGTTTAGAAAACAAACATGGAAAATCTAACAAAACATTAAGACGTCCAAGAAAATTATAGTAACGTGGAAAAATTGTGGAAGATGATAAAGGTTAATGATATTGATAAATTGTATGTTGCTTGTGATTTAAAACTTGCGAAAATATTGGCCGGAATAATGCCCCATAGCTCTATGTACCCATGAACCTGGTGTAATATTGACAAATACCATTTGTTCAATAATGGCACTCTTCAAACGAACGTTGAAAATTATGAAAAGTGGGTATCTTCAGGAGCCAACAAATCAAAATCGAAATTTTTTTTAACTGCATTTCTTCACTAATTCTGCCTCATCGACAAACACAGAAATTTTAAAAATAATCCCACCCCCAGAATTGCACTTGTTGATAGGATCTGTGAATACTATTTACAATGCTACGTACAAAGAATTTACAGATATTTCCGTGCAATGGACAAAGCTTTGTTATGTAGAAAAAGACGCAATGTATGGTACGGTTAATGGTAATACTTGCCGATTGCTACTCTCAAAAGTAGATTTGTTGCGTTCGTTTTGCCCTCTACAGTGTTTCAAATATGTCAAATCATTTAGTAGCTTAGAAATAGTTGTAAAATCATGTTTTCACGTCAAGTTGGATAATAATTTTTTAATGGCTATAGAACAGTTTTGAAAAGATTACTTAGATTTAGAGATAAAACTGAAAATTCACTCAATTTTCATGTAGAAGAATTTTGCAATCTCGAAGATAGCGGCTTGGGTAAATTCAGCGAACATGCATCGGAATTAGTTCATGTCGACTTCAAAAAGGTCTGCAGACCTCTAAAAATGAATTAGTCAAAAATGACTAATTTAACAGTAATTAATGGCTGCTTTTTCACTTGTACCATGGTTAACCATGGAATACCATCGTATCCCAAAATTTAACACCCAATTATTATGAAAAATTGTCCCCTGAATCCGAAAATACCGTCAAAAATTATGAAAGTGGAGCAGTTTTTGAGATATAGTCAATTCCATATTAAATATAAAATTGACTATATCTCCAAAACTGCTCTACTTTTTAAACTTTTCGGATTCAGGGGACAATTTTACATAAGATTTGGCTGTTAAATTTTGGGATACCGTGGTATACCATGGTTAACTATGGTACAAGTGAAAAAGCAGCCACTAATAACTATTAAATTAGTCATTTTTGACTAATTCATTTTTCCATGGGAGCGATATAACCCGAATCACACCCAGACATTCCTTTTAAGTTCCTTGCAGCAGTTAGGTTTTATAACGGAATACATTTGTAATAAGTATAATTATTTAGTTTATTGTTTAAATAACTGTCTTCACAGTAGTTTAGAGTTCAAGTATATTTATTGTATTAAGGATCTAGAATAAAAAAATATAATATTTCTCAAACCGAGTTAATAATTATTACGTTTTGTCAACTATTCAGATATAAATCTTAACCCATATATTTTTTATGAAACGCCCAATAATTTAAAAAATTACCCTATTATTTTCAAAAAAGCACTACAAGTAAGAAAAAATTAAAAACGAGTATGGACATTTTTTTCGCAATTTTTTTTTAGACGAACCGTGTTGTCTCTGCACAGAACAAAACCAAATCAAGTCAAGATAATAAAAAAGTGTCTTTGTAAGGTTCCCACCAATTTATTAACCACCACCTGAAAAAATTTATTATTAATCATTATTATTTATAACCTAGGAGATTAAAAAAAACTTAAAACCACGATATTTATTTGTTTATAGTTAACTATTAAATTACTTGATACCAAAATTTTGGTACAAATTACCTAAATGATTTTTAACACCCAACATAAAATAAAATTATATGCTTTAAATTAAGCTGTTACAATATATAAATATATATATATATATGGGTCATTCCATGTCAAATCGACAAGCAGTTGGAATCGACCCAAAGGAATAAAATTAAAACATTTTTTTCAAAAGTTATGAAAAATTTAAAATTTTACTATTTTTCCTTTTTATCAAGTTTTTTCTCTTAAAATCTCAGAAACTATTATAGCTAAAAAAAATTCTATTCATTCGGAAGAGGACACTTAGAGCTATGGAAAAAAATTTTGAGAATTACTAAATTTAGAAAATATAAAATATTTTAAAATTATAAAAATTAAAGTTCGCCATTAAATTTTGGGACCAAATTTTTTTATATATATCTCTTACATATCTAAAGAAATCCAGAAGGATGTTTTTTGATTTTTCAAAAATATGAATTTTTGAATTTTGGCGAAATTTTTTTTTATTTTTTTAACTTTCTAGTTAAATAAAATTAGTCAACACACGATAATTTCATTTTGAGCACTGAAACACTTTTCTTATGCTCGTATGTAAAAACAGAAATATATTTTTCTACTTCTATTACGGAATAGGACCGTTCTTATATATATATTTTTAATGTGAAATTATATAAATTCCTTAAACTGTTGCAAAATGAATTATTCCATGAATGGGTGACCGAAAAAACACTGGTGGAGACATCTCTGTGTTTATTATCTAACAACTTTTATACCGATCCAACCTCACTTTCTCCTAATTAAATTATTTTACTATGGTATTTTTTGGAAACGTAGAAAAATTATAGTCTAAAACGTTTGGAATTGCATATTCCGCTCTCGTGAAACCGTAAAACCAGCCTTTGGCTCGTGTCACAAACTTTTCACTCGAGCGGAATATGCAGTATTCCAAACTTGTTAAAGAATATACTATTTTCTACTCCTATTATGGAATATGACCGTTCTAATGTCACTTTTTAATGTGGAATGACATACAGTACATTTTTTGAATGTTTGTGATGGCGTCATCAATTGCTGAACCAAACATAGACATGTAGCTGTCTTTTTTTTCTTTGTAAAAGTCCATCTGTAATTCTAAAACGTATTGGGATCCGCTAAACTAGCAGATGGCGAAACAATTAATCGTAATTAACGACAAACGTCAATCCGATATCGCGCTTGTGCTGAAAAAGGACAGAACGCGTATAGTTTGTTGTGGGATTAAGCCGAAATTTATCAAAATTTGAAGGTTATTCAGTGGCGTTCCTACAGTAATTTGACATTAAATTTTGTATGTTTGAAAGGATTTAAAAAATGCTTGGCAAACGTTTGAACGATAATCAAAAACGTTTTATTATTAATTTAGTTAAATATTTTCAAAGGAAACTTGAGCATGGGGGTCCCCTGCTCCCACTAAACTGCGCCCAAGAGGTAAGCTATGTTAGGCTTAGTCCTACTTTAGGCAACCAAAAGTACACCCACAATTAATGCTTGGACCTTTTTCAAAATAATACGCTAGTGGCTCTAAATTTAGTTTCGGTTTAATTCATACAACCCAATTAACGCCACCACAAACATTTAAAAAATATACTGTATATTCCTTAAAGTATTACAGAATGAATTATTTCATCAACGGATGACAGAATAAACACTGGTGTTTATTATCTAACTCGTAAAACCGTCAAACTCGCCTTCGGCTTGTGTAACAAACTTTTTATTCGAGCGGAATATGCCGTATTCCAAACTTGTTACAGAATATACGAGGGGGGTGAAACTCATATAGGAATATGCGCAAGATGCGCCTTCCGAGCAATGTTGCCATATTTCATTTTTATAGCCAAGTCATATTTCTTAATAATTAATATTATTTTCAGATTTGACTTCTGACAACAATAGAAAAAATATTGGCAACGATGAAATCTATTTCCAAGCTTTGAAGTATTTCTTGGGTTTTCTTTATCTGTGTTTGGTTCCTTTGAAGTTACAGTAAGTAAATACAATAAAATTAGTTGCTTTTACATTATTTTTTTAGAGATTGACAAACCCATTTAATATTTAATTTTTTTTTCCTTAGCCTGGGGGTGAAATTTGTAGCCTATAAAAAAAGAAAATTTTTGAAAAAAAAAATTTTTTTACTCAACGTCTTGAGGTGGCCCACTGATTTTTTAAATTAAATTTAAGTTAAAATTCTTTCGAAAAAAAAAAATATATTTGGCTTGTAATCTTCAAATTTATCTAAAAATAAACAAATTTGATCGTGTTCAACTTGAAATTCGCTCTATTGCCTCAAAAAAGCATCTTAATATTTTGGATTTTTTTTAAAAACAACAATAATGACCACAAAAATTTTTTTTAAGTTCATAACTGTTAATTAGCAAGAAAGAGGACACTCCGCAGTTTCCGGAACACTTTAAAAAAAAAAATTTACGACCACTCGTTTTTAACTTAAATTTAATTTAAAAAATCAGTGGGCCACCTCAAGACGTTGAGTAAAATTTTTTTTTTCAAAAATTTTCTTTTTTTATAGGCTACAAATTCCACCCCCAGGCTAAGGAAAAAAAACCCTACTAATTAATAATATTAGTATTTGGACAATTGTCTGGATAGTCACTGCTGTCCAGTTTGGAAGAGTCCTATTCAACGTAGGTACTGTTGTCCCTGGTGGAAGAAATCTTTAAATTTTTATTTGTTATAAAAGAAAAAGCACCGGTGGTACCCTAATTGCAAGAAGACAGGATGCGCCGGGATTAATTATAATTTTATTTTAAAGTGTCTCAATTTTTCCCCTAGGAATGGAATTTTAAACCTTTAAATTAGTGTTTTATAAACATTTAGCAATTTAAATTTAATAAATAAATGTTTGCAATTATTTTGATTTATTTATCTTAAATTTAAATTAATTAAAATTATATTTATTTATATATAAAAAAATTCTAAAGCCTGTCCTGTAGTAAAAAAGGTAAAACAAAATTTGGAATACGTCCCTGTTTAGCAGGCGTTTTTGACGATCGTGTTGCATAAGTTTAATAGATCTATTGTTTTTCTATGGAATATACTATTAAAATTGTATTTTTATTGGTTTAGTTTCACAACTTAAATCATGTAAGAAGGGTCACACTCTGCCATCTACTCGTATGTATCTACAAATAAAGTTTCTATTATCGATGGTACCCATAAGAGAACTCACTAGAGAGCTCTATTTCTCGTGATTAATGAAGATCAGTGAATTTTTTATTTATTTGTCAACAATATAAAATTGCTGAGTTCGTCATGGAAAAAAGAAAGTGTTCAATCGGAATATCTAGTAATAAAATATGCACGGAGGAAAATTTAATTGATTGCAAGGATTTTTCAGACGAAGACCGCATTTCTCTAAATGCCAGAAGTGTTGTGACTTTCATTTGCGCTAAACATAAAAATAAATTTGATAATGCCAGCAAATTAAGTGAGAAATCACAAATTTTATCTGTTCTGCCATCAAGTAGGCCGATAGAAAAAGGTGTAAATACTTTTGGAGCATCTACATACATGGTAAGAAAAGTGAAACCAAAAGTAAAACAAGATGCATTCTATTTATCCGTGATCAGAACAAAGGTCATGCGTTATTGAAGACTACAGATTAAAAAGTTCAATATTTTTTCAAAAGTCAAGTTATCAGTAGAGAATTTCCCGGCAAAAAAGATTATAAATCTGTGCGTGAGAATGGCCAACGAGTGCAAAAATAAAAACGTTTAATTTTAGGTAACCTTACCGAAATTTATCAAATGTTTCGAGAGAAATACTCATTTGAAAAAATAGGTTTCTGAAAATTTGCAAGTTTAAGACCACCTGAGTGTGTTCTTGCAGGTGCATCAGGCACTCACGTTGTTTGTGTTTGTCTTATTCATGAAAATTTTAAACTTTCATTTCATGGTGCACAACTTCATAAACTAAAACTCCAAGATGATAGTCAGCCATTGTCATCGTATCGAAATTGTATGAAAATGGTTAAGTGTCAACAACACACAGATGACTGTTATTTTGGTGTCTGCACTAATTGTCCATGTACCATGGAAAATCTTTTTACGGACAATTTTCTAGATGAAATCACATGTAACACTGGTTTACAGTCAGAATGTACCTTGAGTGCGACTATTTTTTTCTGATGTATTTTGGCCTGCTAAACTCGAAAATGACAATAAAATTTTTTTTATGGCAAGATATTTCAAATAAAAAATTGTCTTTTATTGTTCGATGCCGGCTTTACTATTTGGGATATATCTCGAGTTTGAAATGGCCAATTTGATTACAACAGATGTCAAATTAAACCTAATTAACATAACAACAAATGTAATTGTATAAATGCCCAATTAGTCAATAAGTTTACTTGCAATAGGGCCAAATATCGAGAAAAAGTCAATTTTTTGGACAAAATTAGAATTAGGTATTTACTATTTTACCAAAAAGAAGCAAAAATCATTAAAATATGCTCATTTTTAAAATATCTACAAGTAGTAATTCCATATATGGATAAATGTCAAAGTTATGACAGTTTATGTACAGGTACGTTGTGATATCGCCGTTGGTTTATTGTCTGCGCTATTCTAAATACGATTTATGCTACATTCTAACTTTTAAAATTTGATACAATGAGCAAAAGAAAACGAGATTTTGAGTTCCGAAATAACCCAGATGATTTCTGTTATGTCTGCGGTAATTATGTAATTAAGAAAAATAAAAAAATATTTACCAACTTGCTTCAAGAGCATTATCATCATTACTTTAAAATTACAGTTAAAAGTATTAATAAAAAATGGACACCAAGTATTGTATGCCCTTCGTGCTACATAAATCTTAATGGATGGGCTTCTGGCTCAACAAAGTAAGTACCTATTAGGTTATAATAGTTATGTTTAAAAGTGCAACTAAAGTTACACTTCTAATTGACAATTTCATGGATCCACAATTATTTTTTAGGCGGCACATGAAATTCGCTGTGCCAATGATGTGGAGAGAACCATTTTGCCATACGACCGATTGTTATTTTTGTTTAAGCAAAAAAAAGGGAGTTGGAAAAAGTGTGCGATGGATTTATGCACATGTACAATCTGTTACGTTTTCAGTACCGCATTCAGACACACTTCCCATTCCTGGGTGTCCCAAACAATCTATCCTCGAAACAAGTTTTTCTTCATCGGATGAAATAAATATTGAAAGCGAATCGGATGTAAACAGAAAGCAACATCTTTTGACTCAAGCTGAACTAAATGATTGGGTAAGAGATTTAGAGCTTTCAAAAGAGAAAGCAGAATTACATGCATCTCGGATGAAGCAATACAACTTTTTGGCTGCAAATGTGAAAACAACATATTACAGAGAACGTGATAGGGCTTACTCAAAGTATTACACTATGAATGATAAAGTATGCTTTTGTAAAAACATTCCTGGCTTGTTTGAGGAACTTTAACAGCCATACAATGCAAAAGAATGGCGGTTATTTGTTGATAGCAGTAAAGAGAGCCTAAAAGCAGTTTTATTACATAACGGAAACCAGAAACCATCAATACCTATAGGACATGCCGTCGATACCAAAGAATCCTACGAGACAATGGTAAAATTGTTTAAATACATCAAGTACGAAGAGCACAATTGGCAAATTTGTTGTGATCTAAAGGTAGTGGCCATGTTATGCGGGATGCAAGGTGGATACACAAAATATTGCTGTTTCTTATGTCTTTGGGATAGCCGCGCTCGCGAGCTTCATTATAAAAAAAGCAATGGCCAAAAAGAGAAAACAACACTTTGGGTGAAAATAACATTAAGTATGTGCCTCTAGTCAAAAAGGAAAACATCATTCTTCCCCCCCTACATATAAAGCTTGGACTATTCAAAGACTTTGTCAAAGCATTAAACAAGGAAGGCCAAGCGATGACTTATCTTTTCAAAAGTGTTTCTAGAGAAAAAATTAAGGAAGGCGTCTTTGATGGCCCACAAATAAGGAAATTGATCAAGGACGATAAATTCCATACTTATTTGTCATCGAATGAAGCTGCAGCCTGGAATTTCTTTAAACTTGTTGTTTCTGACTTTCTTGGAAATAATAAAAGTCCAAACTACAAGGAAATTGTCGAAGATTTGCTGAAGCACTATGAGAAGATTGGTATGTATTCTATTTTATCACTTATATCACTTATATATATATATATATATATATATATATATTTTATGTATATATATATTTTATATATATATATATATATATATATATTTTATATATATATGTATATATATATATATATTTTATCCCTTTCATTAACAGGTGTAAATATGTCTCTGAAGATTCATTTCTTACATTCCCACTTACATTTTTTTCCCAAAAATCTTGGTGACCTGAGTGATGAGCATGGTGAAAGGTTTCATCAAGAAATAAAATCCATGGAGCGGCGCTATCAGGGCTTTTGGAATGAAAGAATGATGGGGGATTATATTTGGTTCCTTGTAAGGGAATCAGATAACGAAAACAGAAGGCAATCTAAAAACCTAAATTATTTTTAATTTACAATAGTATTGTATATTAAATTATATTATAATGATATATAGAGTGTTCCATTTAAAATGAAACATCCTGAATTTTTCGGAAACTAAAAGAATTTTGAAAACTTACGAGACACATAAAGTTTTATATCGAGGGAGACAACAAATTTTGCCATTAATGCTATTAATGCCAAAATTTGGTTTCCCACCCTTATCCTCTATGCCCAGGAGCTTTCCCCTTAATAATTTGTACATATCTAAAAAATTAACTGACCAATTTAAAAAAAATAAAATGCCGTTTAATAGGGATTTTCAAGACCTTTAAAATAATGTAGTACTCTGTACCCCTTCTCTATTTAAATTCTTAAGGGGGTAACTCCGGGGCGCAGAAGGTAAAGGTGGGAAACCAAATTTTGCCTTAAAAAGTTTTCCCCCTCGATATAAAACTTTATCTGTCTCTGCGTTTTTTAAAATACTTCTAGTTTCCAAAAATTTAGGGGGGTTAGTTTTAAAAGGAACACACTGTATTTTAATATTAAAATATAAAATAAAATTTATTTAACAGTAAAAAGGTTCTATTAGGCAAATAGAATATTTGGGAAAAAAATTTACCTGTCCACTTTTTGCATTAACCCCTTTAATTATAATAATTATCAATAGATATGTTTTAAAAATATCTTGTTTTCTTTATAACAGTTTGAACTCCACGTAGATAATTTAAAAATTGACATATTTTGTTGATTTGTATTCATCCTTGGCAAAGAAAATAATGTTACATTCTCATTTTTCTCCAAAAAAAAACGACTTTTTCCAATATTTGAACTTAAGCTTATTAACTGATTGGGTACTAATAAGGTGATATTTGTTGGCGACTCAAATATGTTTAATTTTAAACTGTTTTCAACCAGATTGGCCATTTCTAACCCGAGATATGACCCAAATTGTAAAGCTGCTTTCTTAAAGAACCAAAATATTAAATAAAAAATTGTATCTCAAAAACCTTGCCATAATTTTTTTTTTGTGATTTTTAAGTTTAACAGGTCACAATACATTAGAAAAAAATAGTGGCAGCGAAGGTACATTTTTTTAATTTTAATTTGTAATGATTATAATCAATGGACTCAAGTCGACTCAAAAATGTAAAAAATAATCTTGAAATTGGACAAGTTCTTGTTGTTGCCGATTTTTCTGAAAACTATTCGTTTTTACTACAAAATAGTGTTCAGGGAGTATATTGGAATAATAAACAAGCGACAATTTATCCGTTTGCTTGTTATTATAGATCGATTGATCAGAATGAAAGCAAAGTAGTTTGATAATAATTTCAGATATCTTGACTTATAACACCACTGCAGTTTATAGTTTCCAAGAGGTATTAACGTCGTTTCTTAAAATCAAGATTCCTAGTATTACTAAAATTATTTATTTTTCGGATGGTGCAGTAGCTCAATATAAGAATCGTTACAATACCAGCTAAATGGCATTTTTTGCAACTTCTCATAAGGTCTTTAAGGTCCGAGTGATGGTTTGGGTAGACCTCTCAAGCGATTAGTTAGCCGAGCTAACCTCAAAAAAGAAGCTGATCAACAAATTCAAACACCCGAAAAAATGTATAAATGGGCCAAAGATAATCTTCGAGGAATAAATTGTCACTTCGTTTCAAATGAGCAAATTCAGCAGGCTGAAAAGAAGCTCAGTAAAAGATTCAAAGATGCTTCCCTAGTACAAGGTTGTGGTTGTCATGCTGCTATTCCTATTTCAAGTGATAAATATAAAAGCGTTATCATCATCACGAGAAGAAAAAGATTTTCGTTTGAAAAACACTGAAGTTTATGAGATCACCAATGAACCAGCAATAAAAATCAGGTAGAAAGATTGGAATTTTGAGTTTTTATATTTTATGAACATTAATCTCTTATTTAAAAATTGATATTACACTGACTCTTTTCATATTGAGAAAAAGGACTGAGACATCAACATCAGAAAAAGGAGTGAAAAAAGAAGTTGTAAGTAATAAAGTGTAACATAACCTTCAGCTTCAAACATTATCAAAAATAAAACAATTGTAAAACAATTTTAAATATATTTCTGTTTTTACATCCTACTTGCATGAAAAAAATGTTTCATTGCTCAAAATGAACTTAGCGTGGGTTTGACTAATTTTATTGTACTATAAAGTTAAAAAAATAAAAAAGAAAAATTCCAAAATTAAAAAATTCATATTTTTGAAAAAACAAAAAACACCCTTCTGAATATTTTAGGATTTCTTTAGATATGTAAGAGATATAATATAAAAATATTGGGCCCAAAATTTAATGGCGAACTTTTTATGATTTTGAAAAATTTCATATTTTCTAAATTTGGTAATTTTCAATTTTTTTTATCCATAGCTATAAGTATCCTTTTCAAAACGAGTTAAAACTTTTTTGTAGCTATAATAGTTTTCGAGATATTAAGGGAAAAAACTTGAAAAAAAGGAAAAATAGTGAAATTTTGAATTTTTCATAAGTTTTGAAAAAACATTTTTTATTTTTTTTCCTTTGGTAGAACTTTGACTTATGATGAGAGAAAACTTCCCACCAAAATTCATCCAAATCGGAAGGGGTCGATTCAAACTGCTTGTCGATTTGACATGGAATGACCCATATATATATATACAACCAGGTTTAAGGTAGTAAAAAACAAAGTGGACCAACCATTTTTTAGGTAGATACCTACTATACAGTAATGTCATAAGAAAATTTGACATCCACAATTACAGATCTGTTAAAAAAATATATAGGTACCTATTAGGTATTTATAACCATATATGAACATATACGAGGTGTGTTCAGAAAATATCGGGAATTTTCGTTTTTTAAAACAAATATTTATTTATTCGTCTACATTAATGTTGTCGCCTTCAAAATAGTCTCCATTGGATATTATGCACATGTGCCAGCTCTTCTTCCAATACTCGAAACACTTCCAAACTCGATCTTTGGGATAGCCTTTAGTTCTTTTAGCGATGCGCTTTTAATGTCATCTATGCTTGCAAAACGACGGCCCTTTAAGGTTCTCTTTATTTTTTTGGAATAGGAAAAAGTCAGACAGAGGCATGTCTGGCGAATATGGAGGCTGGGGCATCATTATAGTATTGTTTTTGGCCAGAAATTTTGTTCAAAATTTAACAATTTTAGAACAAATTTTGCTGCCACGCGTTTCATACCCAAAACATTTGAAAAAATTTCATGGGAAGAGACAATCGATATACCAACATCATCAGCGACCTAAACTGATGGTTTATAACCATTTCTTACATGTTTTTATCGGTTGTTAATGTGCTTGTGCGTTCGGGGCGTTCGTCATCTTCAACGTCTTCACGGTCATCTTGGAAACTCTTATACCACTTGTAAACTCTTGTTTTACTTATAGCAGACTCACTATAGGCCTTTGTTAAAATTTCACAGAAGTTATTTTATTTTTAAGCAAAATTGGATACAAATTCTTTGATCCATTTCTTTTAACGAACGAAAAATCGCCGAGCTTATAAAACACGTCTAACCTTAGCTGCTGCCACAGACAAAGTAAACAATGAAAACAGCTAAAGTTCTTATCATACTTCGGGGGCATGTATACCAACACGAACACGCGAAATTTAACAATTTCCGTTTTTTTCTGAACACACCTCGTATAGTCATATAAGTATTATATATACATAGTACCTATTCTTTATTTAATATATGACTATATATGTTTATATATGGTTATACATACCTAATAGCTACATATACGTATCCTGGATGTAGATATACATATGTAGTCATAGTCAAAATAAATAATAATAATAAATCACATATAATAATATATGACTATATATGTATATACTATGTTCATTAGGCTGTCCCAAAAAAAAAGAATATATTTTTTTTTCTTGTCTCTTGTAAAAATATGTTAGTTTATAATGCAGTAAGAGCCCTTTCAAAATATCAGCTCGATTAAAAATTTTGTAGGGGTCGCTCAAGATTTTTAAAAATTTTCAAAATCGTCAAAAATTGAATTTTTGTTTCATTTTAATTCTTTTTCTCGTCTCGATATTATTTTTTAGGTTGAAAATAATAAAAATTCTGTAAATTTTAAATCAATATTTTTATTTCTAAAGGTCGCTAAAAGTTCGTTGATATTTATATTCAGAGGTCGCTCGAAAACATTCAAAATACTCTACTTTGAAAGTTAAAAAAATCTTGAGCGACCTTTAGAAATTAAAATATCGATTTGAAATTTTCAGAATCATTATTATTTTTAAATTAAAAAATAATATCGGAACGAGAAAAAAAATTAAAGTTAAAAAAAAATCCAATTTTTGACGATTTTGGTAATTTATAAAAATCTTGAGCGACCCCTAAAAATTTTTTAATGGTGCTGATCTTTTGACAGGGCTCTTAAAACATGACAAACCAACATATTTTCAAAAGAGACGAGAAGAAAAAAAATATTCTTTTTTTTCCGGGACACCCTAATGTTCATATATTAGTTCGGTTCCAGCGCTTCAGAAGACACGTCGCGTGCGGGTAAGCTCTTGAAGCGTAAGAGTTTAAAGATAAAACCAACAATAATTATAAAAAAAGTGCAAACTAATAAGTGAAACAGACATTTTCATAGAGTGCAAACTAAAATGGTGTAACGGTCATTGAGGAGTGAAGTGTTGAGTGATATGAATGACTTAAGTGCCACCTGTCATTGGAGGCTTTTCACTGGACGGACAGGGGAGGTCAAGCAAGAGGGGAGGTGGTCATCCGCAAAAAAAAGCTGATAAGTTACTTTGAGAATATGCATGACCTGATACAAATCTGCAATTTAAATACGGCAGATCCCAGCAAACATTTTCCGTTATTTGTCACCATTAACATTGCCCGTAATTCATTTTATTAAACATAACATTTATTTACTTGAAAATGTTAAAATAACTTTAAAATATGATTATGTTAAGAATATATTTTACTCTGTAAACAATTGTTTTGTTTTTAATTACTATCATTGCAAAATTGTATTAAAAAGTATTAAAAATTCTTACACGGGCAATGTTGGTGGTGATAGGTACCGTTAAGGTGTTTATTGGGATATCTTTAAAACCTACGAAAGGCACACGGAATGGGGCAATAGATCTGTCAACAACAAATGCGTAAGGCAATCCCAATCGAGACCGAAAATAAACACTAGACTCACGGAGTGAACTAACGCATTAATCAATTCTAACATTAAAAAAAAGCCTAATAGCCAAACTCGAGATTTGTAAACATTGGACAACAGATAATCGCGCTTGTAATTTGTTTAACTAATAAATAAATGCAATGCTTAATTTTGGAAATTAATAATAAAAAGACAAAACTCTATCACAAAACGTGCTTGGGACAAAACTTATTAAAAACAACTGACACACTTTACCAAGTGCAGGAACTATCTGACCAGGACACAGACAATGACAATAACGAACAAGACAAAGACCTCGACTAGGAAACTACACCCCTGCAGCGAAATAACAACTCCCCAACTCCAAATAGTAATCCCAAAAGTTTGGAGTAATACTAATCGACTGGTCTAGGGGGATTCCGCGTCGTACTTAGTTTTAAGTCGGCGTAATTGTCCCCCAAAAACCAACACCTTCCCGTCCCTCCTCCATACCACACTGAGCGTATAGCATAGGCTCGGCGAACCCGGGAACGGCTATTAAAACTATTCGCCTCTCGCTCTCGAGCCCCATATAGGGGACAGTACGGAACGCAATGGACATTCGCACCCAGCAAACACGGGTGAAGCCGTGCAGTTGCTGGGGAAGAACAAAAATCGGCGTAAGTAAACATAGGCCTGTACGGGGTTCGAGAGTCAAGAGAAAATGGGACTGGTTATACGTCTCTTATACTCATACTCACACCCTAATGTTCATATATTACAAATATAAACCTTCTTCGTCTAAAATAAATATCAATTCATATAAGTTTGTATGACCATGTATGTTCTTCCATGTTTATAGATAAATATATATAACCATATATAAAAGCCAATTATACGTAAATGAATAATCATATATAGTATGTCCATTATATTATATAATATATTATGAACAAACATAATTATATAAATATGTATAAAAATACCCACTGGGAAAGAAACCTTACAAAATATTGCTGCAATGTCGCCGACTTTACAAATAAAATATTTCCTGTGCTACTTGCATTAACATAAATGAAATGTTTCATTTGAAATATTGCATATAATAATTTTCAACAACCTTAAATTTGAAACATTATTTAAAGGTTCACATGGAAAGTTTTTACAATGTTATATTTGTAACATTAAGTATAAAATGTTGCATACAAGTTTTTAAACATTACAATTATAATATTGCAGACATAACTTTTTTCAATGTTTCAATTGAAATATTAACACAAGTTTCAAATGAAAAATGTTTGCAACTTTACTTTAAATATACAATAGAAACATTTATTTTGGAATGTTTGGGAATATTTTTGAAACATTATAATATTACATTGATAAGTGTTGGAATATTGTGCAACAACAATAGTCAACGTTTAAAAAATAGGGAATAAACCACATGGCAAGCGAGTGAAACTTTTATGGCATTCGCACTTGACTTTAAAATATACTACGACTCGTAGTCTACGAGGCAGAGTCAGTCCGAAACCACCCTCAGCGAAATATAGTCGTCACAGATGTTATTTGTATTTATCTCTAAAAGTTATTTGTTACCTACTTATTAATAAAGTGTACCTACTTAATTATCTCGTTCTTAAATACAATTCTGCTTCTTATTGACCATTCACATAATT